GTTTTTTATTTGCCGTTGAAAGAAGACAGCAGCGGCTTCTCAAGCACACAAGCTGCAACGCCAGTGCAGCAGCAGCAGTGCAGCAGCAGCAGCAGCAGCAGCAGCAGCAGCAGCAGCAGAACTGGAGGCAACAAGTCTTCAGATAGTAGAAAAAATGAACCCCTAGCCCTAAACCCTAAACCCTAAACCCTAAACCCTAAACGCACTGCGCAGCTTCTCTCCCGGGAACTCGGCCAAGATTTCCACATCTGTGGCAGGGTCCAGCTTCATCTGAGAACAAACCCTAAACCCTAAACCCTAAACCCTAAACCCTAAATCCTAAACCCGAAACCCGAAACCCTAAACGTTGAACCCTAAACCCTAAACACCGAGCGGCTTGCCTGTTTGCATATCCACTCAAGGCGCTCCTTTGCAACGACAAGGGTGCTGCAGCCAAATCAAATAAACCCTAAACCCTAAACCCTAAACCCTAAACCCTAGATCCAAGACCTTGAACCCAAAAGCCTAAACCCCATCCGTTTGCTTGCGGGCAGGCGAGGCCCGCGCTGCAGCCCCGGCGCTGCAGCTGCCACCCCGTAAACCCTAAACCCTAAACCCTAAACCCTAAACCCTAAACCCTCGCTCCCAAACCCCAAACCCTAGATTCTTGCCGTTTTATGGGTTTGAAAAGAGCCTTGATGTAAGTCATTGTGGGGTGAACACAAAGAGCCAAGTTCGAAGGAAGAGTCCAGGGGGTTGTTGTCCAAGCAGCAAATTCAAAAGGTTCTCCCAGCGCTGTGGTGTCTGTACACCTGAGCAGCAGCAGCAGCAGCAGCAGCTGCAAGTGCGGTGCAGCAAACGCAGCAGCAGCAGCAGCAACGGTCGCGCCGCTAGTGCAGCAGCAGCTGCAGCAGCCCTGAGGGCTGGCGCGCAGCAGATGCAGCAGCACTTAGTGCCAGGGCAGCAGCAGGAGCTGCTGCAGCAGTTTGTGCCAGGGCAGCAGCAGCAGCTGCTGTTGCTGCAGCTGCAGCAGCAGCAACAGGGGCAGCAGCGAGCGCCGCAACAGCAGCAGCAGGGGACAGCAGCAAGTGTGCTGCAGCAGCAAGGCAAAGACAGGCTGCTCCCCAAAGGCCCCGAGCCAGGAATTAGGGTTTAGGGTTTGGGCTACATCAAGGCTAAGGACTTGGGAGTTGGGGTTTACAAACTAGGGTTTAGGGTTTAGGGTTTAGGCCTCATCAGAGGAGAGGCCTTGGGATTTAGGGTTTACGGCCTACAGTCAAGGGTTAAGGGTTTAGGGTTTAGGCGTTCTCAGGCCTATGGGCTTGGCATTTGAGGCCTACGACCTGGAGCTTAGGGTTTAGGGTTTAGGGTTTAGGGTTTAGGGTTTAGGGTTTACTTGAAGGCCACTATGAGGGAAGGGTCTCTAACGTCTTTGTAGTTTTGATTGGCCTCGAAGTTCGAAAGGGGAGTTCCGCAGGCTGTGGAAAAGGGCATTACCTGGAGGCAATTTGGATGAAACAAAAGACACAAAAAAGATTTTAAAAAGACAAAAAGAGATTTAAAAAGACAAAAAAGATCAAAAGAGATTAAAGGAAATTAAAAGGAATAAAAAGAGAGAAAAAAGGAGGCAAAACGAGATTAAAAGGGATAAAAAAGACAAAAAATCCCCCAAAAATCAAAAAACGCCAAAAAAACGATAAATGAGACAAGAAATAAACAGAGACAGGAAAAGATAAAAAGAAATAAAGAGAGAAAATAAACAAAGATAAACAAAAGAGGAGAAAAAAAGAAACAAAAAAATCAAAAAAGCGCCAAAAAAGAGCCAGAAAACACAGTGTGGGGTGTTTGGTGAGGTGTCTGTACACCTGAGTTGTTGCTGAGGTGTCTGTACACCTGAGTTGCTCCAGCAAGGCAGTGTGGGGTGTTTGGTGAGGTGTCTGTACACCTGAGATATTGCTAAAAGGAGTGTGGGGTGAATGGTGAGGTGTCTGTACACCTGAGTTGGGCTGGCCTAGAAGGATCTGCAACTTGCTGAGGTGTCTGTACACCTGAGATGCTGCTGAAAAAAGTGTGGGGTGAATGGTGAGGTGTCTGTACACCTGAAAGACTGCTTTAAAAAAGTGTGGGGTGTTTTGGTGAGGTGTCTGTACACCTGAAAGACTGCTTTAAAAAGTGTGGGGTGAATGGTGAGGTGTCTGTACACCTGGAAGACTCCTTTAAAAAGTGTGGGGCGTTTGTTGAGGTGTATATACACCTCGGACTCACCTTAAAAGCTCTGTAAATTCTTCCTTTTTTGAAAAGTTCTTTAAAACCCCACCAGACACTTTCCATGTAATCTCTGTCCATAGTTCTGTACCCGTTTTTGAAATCTATCCAGCGCCCAGTCCTTTCTGGAAAACAAAAAGACAAAAAAGGGAATTTAATGAAATAAAGAAATTAAAAGGGTATTAAATGAAACACAAGACGTTAAAGAGGGAAAAGATGTTTAAATAGAAAAGAAGAAACAAAAATGAAGGTAAATGAGACAGAAACAAAAACGAAATTAAATAAATCCAAATATTTAAAAATAAGTTAAAATTTTAATATTTCTTTGTATGTAAATATAAATAAAATAACACAAATATAAAATATAAGTACAAATAAAATAAACAGTGCACTCCTCGCGCACATTTACAAGCCGGGCTTTTAGGGTTTAGGGTTTAGGGTTTAGGTTTTAGGGTTTAGGTTTTAGGGTTTAGGTTTTAGGGTTTAGGGTTTAACTCTTGGAAAGAAAGACACATAATATTTCTGCGTTTTCCTTCTTTTGCTTGTACTCCATTTTCGCATGCAAATTAAATTTTCTATTTAAAGTTCTTTCAAGAAAAATGTTGGATTTAAAGATTTATAAAATTATTTTTTTTGAAAATTAAAAATGGAAAATTTAGATTAAATGAATACAGATGGTGTTTCCGGGTGTACGTACACTTCTACACAGACAGACATAAATAAATAAGCAAAACTATTTGCTGCTCTTTAATACGTTTGCAACAGCGCAGCAGCAGCAGCAGCGTAGCAGCAGCCCCAGCAGCAGCAGCAGCAGCAGCAGCTTACCGACAATCTTTTCCCACTCAGCTGAATACCGCAGCACGATTGATCTGCAAGAGCAGCAACAAGAACAGCAGCAGCAACAGCATCAGCAGCTCCTGCAGCAGCAGCAGAAGCTACTGCAGGAATGGCAGCAGCAGCAGCTGCAGCAGCAGCTGCAGCAGCAGCTGCGGCAACAGCTGCCGCAGGAATGGCAGCAGCAGCAGCCGCAGCAGCAGCTTCTGCAGCAATGGCAGCAGCAGCAGCTGTAGCAGCAGCCGCAGCAGCAGCAGCTGCTGCAGCAGCAGGCGTTGGGGTTTCTCGCTGCACGCCGCCTCCGTGCAAAAACTCATCCCTAGGGTTTAGGGTTTTGGGGACATAACCTACAATCTAGGGTTTAGGGTTTAGGGTGACCTGTCACGTTTGTGCGTGTACTGAGTCTAGCTTTAGGCTCTAGGGTTTAGGGTTTAGGGTTTAGTGTTACCTGCAAACTTGAAGCGACATTGAGTCTACTGACTCTAGCATTAGGGTTTAGGGTTTAGGGTTTAGGGTTTGCAGACCTGCACTGCTGGTTGTACTGCGGAATCCCGAACTCGAGGACTTGTTGC